GAAATAAATAAAAAATACAATACTATTTTTGCGTTATATGAAAATTTTTGTTGCTCCGTATAAAATTTTTAATCAGCCCCCCCCCCCCTGTCAAAGGTGTCCCCCTTTACCAATCTGAAAATCTGGTCACCTTATGTATAAACCTTAGTAAAATGGTTATTTACAGCCCCAAACCTTCATTCCCTAAAATATTGTCCACAAAGCCCACTATTTGGTTAGAATGCTCAAACTGTCTCTGATCAGAGATCTGTGTTTCATAAAATATTGGTAGGCCCTTCTGCCAGTAAGAAAGTGTGTCTTTGGGAGAGTATAAATGTTGCAGGAGGCAGGAATGCCAAAATCTTGTGAATTAATACAAGAGTTGTTACAACTATTTTTAAAAAGCAAATGTAAATTAATTTTATTGAATTTTATATTGAATGTTATACAGATGCCATTGGAAATAACATATGATGCCCTCAGAGACTATAGTGCCGTAATGGTGAACCTATGGCACGCATTCCACCTGAGCCATTTGTCAGGGCACACAAGGCATTACTCCTTCTGCTGGCCAGCGCACATGTGTGCGCTGGCCAGCTGACTTCGGCCTTCTTTTGGAGCCATTTTTCGTCCTCCGGAAACCAAAAACTGGCCCTATGGGGAACCTGGAAGTTCACGAATGGACTTCTGGTTTGGCTGTAGGGCCATTTTTGCCCTTCAGGAGTTTTCAGGAGCTTCCCTGAAGGCTCCGGAGGGCGAAAAACGGCCCTACAGACAAACTGGAAGTCACAATTCCCGAACTTCTGGATTCCCTGTAGGTCCATTTTTCGCCCTCCGAAGCCTTCAAGGACCTTCAGGAGGCTTCCCTGAAGGCTCCAAAAGGCAAAAACTGGCCCTACGAGTAAACCGAAAGTGACTTCCTGTTTGTCCGTAGGTCCGTTTTTCACCCTCCAGAGCCTTTAGGAGGCTTCCCTGAAGATTCTAGAGGGCAAAAACCAACCCTATGAGCAAACCAGGTGACTTCTGGTTTGTCTGTAGGTCCGTTTTTCGCCCTCCACAACCTTCAGGGAAGCCTGAAGGAGAAGCCTATGGACAAACCAGAAATTATCATCCCCAAACTTCCAGGTTCTCCGTAGGTCCATTTTTCACCCTTCGGAGGCTAGCCGGCATGCATGCATGCTGGGGGATCACACGCATAGTATTATGGGTGTGCCATGCCCACGCACAACCCTCCTGCACTCTCCTCGCTTTTGGCATGGGAGCCAAAAAAAATTTGCCATCACTGCTATAGTGCTATCCATGGCTTATGTAGTTTATGGTTCTCAAAGCAATGTTCTAAATATTATTTTTCTGACTATGTTTTCTGTTTGCTTGTGCTTTCTTCTCAATGTATCTAACTATTTTAACAAATAATCAAAAAGTATTTTAAATTTGAAATGACTGCTTTAATAACAATGTGCTATCCATTGCAATAATAATTGTAAATATTAAGACTGATTTTCATAATTCCATATACTTCTCAGAATATCAATGTATTGTATTCTGTCAACAAATATTTTTTTCAATTAACTCATTATTAACTCATATTGGAGGGAGAGCATATATATTGTATAAACAAATTTTGTTTCTAAATGCACAACCAAGTGAAAATTACATAACTTCATCAATATTGTTTGCTAGTTTAGATTTTCTAATATTGCATTAAGATTGTATTAAGATCATACTTTGCTTACAGTTTAGTAGTTTGTTTACATGTAATTATACTTAAAATTATACTGTATAAAGAATACACAATATAGTTCACTGCTCTGCACAAAGCGTAGTTCTTGCACATAAATTGAAAAAAATCATTTTGTTAACCACATGAAACTTTTGCAATTATTTAGTCTTGAGATTAAAGTAGCACAATTTATATGTTGACATTCTTAGAATTACAGAACAGGCAGAAGCCATTTATGCCATCAAGTGCTATTCTCTGCTTTGGAATGACCTCCATTTATATTTTAAATCAATATTAAAGAGCATGAAATTGTCACTCGAGCTAGTGAAGATTGGTATGCTTTATAAATCACACATCAGCGATGATCCCAATTCGCATTTGGTGAAAAACCAATATGAGAGCTTGTGCATGAACTTATTGTCATTTGATAGAGCGAAAACAGTTTTGTTCAGGCATTTATTTATTTAGTCAATTGTCAATATGTGCAAATCATTGCCATTCAGTACAGGTGTGAAGAAGCATGTCATATGTGAGATTCTGTTTACTGTAAGAAATATGAAAATTAGACATACTGTCAGTGGTTTAAGCCATACTGTAGTTCTTCTGTTGTGTACTAAAGTCAAGTAATAATACATGCACAGTAGTATACATTTTGTGACTGATTATTGATTTTAGTGGCTCTCTTGCTGTGGCCTCACATTTGGCTTCACATGATTTAAAGGACTGCTGATTTGCACTATAGGATTATGTGACACAAATTTGCAGATGCAAAGAGGAGAGGAGCAAGAGTGGATATCTGCTGGCATGATTTTAGATATGACCCATATTTATTTTGCTGCTACTATTAGTAACAATCTGATTTATTTATGCAATAAAAATAAAGGATCAAAAAATGGATATCGGTCCTTTTCAAAAGAATCAGTCTTTGTCAATAATGCCTTATAATGTCAACAATGTCAATAATTCCTTCCTATGAAGGAAAACGTGCTTTAATTCTGCTATATTCATTTATTCATTTGGCTTGTTTTAATTACAGCTAGCTGCACTGGAGAGACAAATCTTTGACTTTCTGGGATTCCAGTGGGCTCCCATCCTTGGCAATTTCCTGCATATAATAGCTGTTATTTTGGGTTTGTTTGGAACCATCCAATACAGACCTCGGTATATAGTTCTGGTAAGTTATCTTTCTCTTTCTAAGTACATTCACAATTTTCCCCCAATTGTTTTCTACATATTAAGTATAACTTGTAAACATTTGCTTAATGTTCAGCTTTTTATTATGTTTGTGGTTTTTTTATATCATGGCTGTTCTGATTGTTTTGTGATTAGTACTAAGATGTTCTATGAGCAATTGGAGATGTATGTTTTTGAGTATGAGTATGAAAACGTATATGGCCTTCAATATAGGGGCAAGTGATTCTTGAAGTTTTCTTTTAAAATCTTCCCAGCAACTTTATAAAAAACTAGCTCATAACCTGGCATTGCCCCGGTATTCATTTATAGGGGGAAAATGTCCGGACCAAATGTAATTTCTAATATTGGATTTTCCCCCTTATGAGAGGGAGCTCCCTTGTGGAGTATTGTGAAGCCGTTACCATGGCAACTAAACTGTGCTGTATAGTAGAAGCCATTTTACGGTAATATAGTAGAAGCTATTTTAAGGCACAACAGGCTGTATCTTAACAGAACACACATCCGGAGAGGTGTTAGGGGTGTCTTACCCCCACAGTGTTTTTTTTCCAGAGAGTAAGTCATCTGGGAAGCAAGTTTGGTTGAAATTGCTTGAGGCATTCCAGAGTTATAAGATATGGTGGTGTATTGCTGAAAAACAAAACCTTGAAGTATAATCTTTGCTTTGCCATATCTTATTTCCTTCATATTATTTAATACATTTTACATCCAATTTGCCCATGCAGTTCACACTCATGTAACCCCCATGTGTTTATGGGAACCATCAGAGACTTCTTTGAATTGATGCAGACTAGTAACTGACCCTGAAAACAATTGTAGATAGTGATTTTGAGAATAAATAACTGTAAGATGCCAAAGGGATTTACTTCAGCTATGTGAAATAACATAATTACAGGCATAGTCTTTGTATAAGAACTATAAACACACTGGGGATCTCTGCAACTTAACATTACAGGAATAAGGAATACTAAAACCATGTAAAAACCTCTTTCTTCACATTTTGCTGAGCCTTAGCTATCTGGAAAGGTTGAATATTTATGGCTTCTCCCTCTGGAAATGTCAGCATTGGGGAACTCTGTAATTTTATAAGTGATGGATTTTGAGGTGTAAAGACAATCTCTTCTATTTTATTTTGTTAGGAAATTCGGTTAAAGGGTTTTATAAAAACTGCTATTAAAATTTACATTGGTATTGATGTAAGCTGTTCATCTTTTTTCTCATCTTTTATTTGATCTCAAATTATTATGGCATCTTGAGAATAATAGTATTTTTTATATTTATATTTTATATTGAAGTCCACAAGTCTTAAAGTTGACAAGTTTGAAGACCTCTGGTCTAGCACTTCCTGACATAATCTGTTCTATTGATAAACAAGTCTTATCTTTACAATTTTTTTCCTGCTGTCATACCAATTGCTCTTTGTCCCTCTTCTGGAATAGAACCCTGGTTTAGCTCATAATTTGCCAAAGTGTAAGGAGACTTTGTTTAATGCTTTGCTGAAGTCAAAGTACATTATGTCCACCTCATTTATTCTCTTTAACTAAAATAGTGAATTTATTAAATAAAAAGATGAAACTGCCATGGTGTGATTTATTTTTATAAACCCCTGCTTGGTTCCTGACAAGACACACTTTTCTAAATGCTCAAAGATCAAACGCTTAATAATCTGTTCTGAAGTTTTGCTTAGAATGAATTTGAAGCTAATTAGTGCATAATTACCTATGTTTGCTTTTCTCCTGCTTTCTGATGATTGGACATTTGCACTTTAATTTTTTTCATTACATAAAACAAACATACCTTAACTTAATTTAAGTTAATACTCATCAGTCAGATTATCATTCATTATTGGGTTTATAAATGGTCCAACACTTTTCTATATTCTTTCACCTCATCCCCACTCATCAATTGATCAATCTTTTTATGTACACTGAGAGCATATGCACGAAAGACAAATTCCTTGTGTGTCCAATCACACTTGGCCAATAAAGAATTTTATTCTATAGTATTTAACAAATTATTTTTTTCACTTAATGACACTCATTCAAAATGTTACACAAATTTCCTCAAAATTCATCCTACAGTTCTTCTATTATTTCTGTTTGCTGGAATAACATGCAACTATTACTATTCTAATTATTTCTTTTATATTCACCCAAAATCATGCCAGACCATACTTTTCAATATATAGTTATCCTTTTCATTCACAATGAAACCTGCAGTTTTAATCTCCTACATGTATTGGGGGTGGGAGAGGGTGCTACTCCATTTCACAAGATCAAATCAATTTCATTCAGATTTGTATAGAGTTGTTATTGCAAGATGCATAAATGATTTCCAAGCTAGACAGGTCTATTATTTAAACATGGAACGATACTATCTAATGTTCAAATAAAATAAAAAAAGTTTGCCCAAAATTTGGGCAAAGAAAAGAAAAAGACCTTGGATTTAAAATCTGGGCCAGCCAGTGGTGGGTGTGTGGGTTGGGTGTGTGGGGGTGAGTGTGGGTGTGGGTGTTTGTATTGATTCCAATGTTCTATTGTAAACAAATCTTTTTCATGTGTATTCTTTTTTCCCTGGTTTGGTGCAGAATACAGGATGAGTCACTGGACCCATAGAAGACATTAATTGCTATACTAGGATGAAATTTAACAATCTGTTATAATCTTCTGACAGTTTACATAATATATCTATTGTGTGTTTATGTGTGTGCATGTATTTGCACATAAATACATGTGTATGTGTATGTGTGTATACACACACTGATGTATTGTATAGCAATTCAAATTGCTGGGTGTTACCTTTAAGGCCCTACATGTCTTGGGACCAGGTTATCTGAAGGACCATCTCTTCCTGGTAACATCCACCAATTCACTAGATGGAGAGGTAGCGAATGTTGTGGGTCCTAAGGACATACATCTGGTGGGACCCGGAAAAAGGCCTTCTCCATGGTGGCTTCTCCCTTTGGAACATAATTCCCACAGAGATTAGACTGGCTCTCACTTTCTCACTCTTTCGCCAGACCATAAAGACCTGGTTTTGCAAGCGGAAAATCCATAGTAGGATAGAGCCCTTCAAGTGGATTATTTGATTGTTTGTTGTTGCCAGGAGGGTGGGGTCACTGTTTTTATTACTTTTACATTGGATTTTTAATTTTTTTGTTAATTGCTTAAGGTCACTGAGAGTATGTGTGTGGTCATATAAATATTCTAAATAAATAAAATAGACATGTATACATAAGGTGACCAGACATCCCGCTTTTGGCGAGACAGTCATGCTTTTGAACAATTTGTCCCGCGTCCCGCAGCATTTTTAAAAAGTCCCGATTTTTAGATGGGCTTTGCAATACTTGCAATGAGGGTTTTTTACCCAGGGGTGCATCTGGCTTTTCCAAACGCCCTGGAGGCAACTGGCTGTTTCACCCGCAGCGGCTGGTCTGTGGCTGCTCCATCCCCGGAGGGGGATGCAGATGGGGGGGGCGGGCTGAGTGCTCTTGGCCCCAGTGTGACGCCCCTCCCAGCTTGGCCCCACGCTTTGAACGTATGTGCCTGGAGCGAAGGTCCCAGCGGAAGGTAGGGCATTGCAGCCCACCACGGCAATTGCAACAAGCCCGCCGGCTTCCCCGGGCAGCATGCCCCCTCTGCTCCCCGCTGCCCTGCTTGAAACGGCTTTGATCGGGGTGGCTCTGCCTCACCTTCCGATAAAGAGGCAGCCGGTGCCCGGGAAGGAAGCGGGGCTGGCAGAGCAGGTGGGCCGTGCCCGGGGAAAGAGCTGAACCCGGGGTCGCAGCCTGCGGGGCTTTTACAAGATGAGGACAATAAAAGGTGCCATTCTCTTCCCTTCCTCCCTTTCCCCTTCCTCCCTTTTGCCTCCCACCCCTCTTTCCTTCCCTCCCATCTTTCCTTCCTTTCTTCCTTCCTTTTTCTCCCTCCCTTCCTCCTTCCCTCCTTCTTTCTTTCTTTCCTTCTTTCCTTCCTTCCTTCCTTCCTTCCTTCCTTCCTTCCTTCCTTCCTTCCTTCCTTCCTTCCTTCCTTCCTTCCTTCCTTCCTTCCTTCCTTCTCCTCCCCTCCCTCCAGCCCAGAGGAGGAGCAGCTGCTTCTGGAACTTCTTGAGAAGTTTCCTTGCCTGCTTTTCTCCTTCTCAAATGCCTTCTGATGACTGGCCAAGCTCTCCTCCCTGGAGTCTCTTTCTTCTGCTTGGGAATGGAATGGGGGGGTGTGTATTATTGATTAAAACCTTTGCCACCCGGTGCTGTGGCTGAGGTGAAGCAGCCAAGCTCCCGCTGGCACCCCCGCCCGTGGCAGTGGCGCCTCCCCCTCCGCTCGGAGCACTGAGCTGGGCACCACATTACCCCTGCCCCCTCCTCCTCTGCCATGCTTTTGAGGAGCCATGAGGCCGCGGGAGCCAGTAGGAAGGCAGCGGAGGGGGCAGGAACAGGAAACAAAAGGCCCCATGGCTTCTCAAAAGCACGGCAGAGGAGGAGGCAGCGGCAGCAGGGGTAACGCGGTGCCCAGCTCAGGTGCTCCGAGCAGAGGGGGAGGGAGATGGCACCGCCGCTGCCACTGGTGGGGGTGCCAGCGGGAGCTTTTGCAGTTTCACCTCAGCCGCAGTGCCAGGTGGCAAAATTTTTAATTAAGAACACACCGCCCCCCCCCCCCGTCAATGGTGTCCTGCTTAACCAATTTTAAAATCTGGTCAGTTTATGTATACATATTACCCTAAAATCAGTTGAAAGATATTTTATATTTAGACACACCTGGAAACTGAATGGCCTTTCATCTTTGTGAGTTCATAATGCAGTTCTATATAGGGAAACCCTGTTTTCACAGTTCTTTAAAAATGTAGTGGGGAGGGATGGCCTGTATTAGTTGTAAGCCATTTCAGAGGTGATTGACCATCACTCAGAATATTTGTCTACCAATTCCCAATAAATGGCTTTCCCTCAAATTTGGGATTTTCAGCAAACCCCTAAGGCAGGGGTGTCCA